CAAACGTTTGATAACACATTTTGTTGATAAGGGCTGTGGGAAAACAGGAATTCTCCTACATTGCTGGTGAGGATTTAATTTCATATAATCACTCTGAAGAGCAATTTGGCATTCCAGCAAAATTACAAATGTACATATCCTTTATCCCAAAAATTCCACTTTGGGGAATTTATCCTAAGGATATACATGCACATGTGTGAAATTGTATTTGTACAAAGTTACTCATTACAACATTGTTTGTAATGCAAGTGTATTAGGGTTCTCCAGAGAAACAGAACCAATAGCACACACACACACACACACTATTGATTCCATTTCTCTAGAGAACCCCAACGAATACATATGTGTGTGTTTTAAGGAAGTGGCTCAAACGATTACAGAGGCTGAGAAGTCCAGACCCAGGAGAGCCAATGGACTAAGTTCCATTCAAGTCCAAGTTTGAAGGCAAAAGGAGACTGATGTACCAGCTCAAAGACAGTCCAATGGAGAAAGAGAATTCTTTCTTACTTAGTCTTTTATTCTATTCAAGGCTTCAATGGATTGTATTTTCTGCTTTATTCAGTCCACTGATTCAAATGTTAATCTCATCTAGACATACCCAAAAATAATTTTTAACAAAACATCTGGCAGCCTGTGGCCCAGTCGAATTAACACATAAAATTAACCATCACAGCAAGTGATTGGGAAAAACTCACATGTCCATTAGTAGGAGACTGGTTAAATAAATTATGGGACATCCAGACAATGGAACACTGTGTACTTATAAATTTTAAAAAGGGGCCAGGCATGGTGGTTCATGTCCATAATCCCAGCACATTGGAAGGCTGAAGCAGGAGGATCACCTGAGGCCAGGCGTTTGAGACCAGCCTGGACAACATAGCAAGACCCCTACAAAATAAAAAATTACAAAAATAAAAAAAAAAATAACTCTACAAAAATAAAAAATTAGCCAGGCATGGTGGTAGTCCCAGCTACTCAGGAAGCTGAGGCAGGAGGACCACTTGAGCCCAGGAGCTCAAGGTTGCAGTGAGCTATGATGATGCCACTGTACTCCAGCCAGGGTGACAGAGTGAGACCTTGTCTCAAAATATTTAATTTAAAAAAATGAAGACATTTTCTGTATACTGTCATGGAAAGACCTAAAGTGAAAAAAGCAAAGTGCAGAATATGTACATGTGAGGGGAAAATGAGAAAAATTACCATTTATATTTGCATTTTCTTGTATATATGTAAAGAACTTCTGGAAAGAGTCATAAGAAACTAAGAGCAACTGTCTCCTAGGAAGATAGAAACTAGGCAGATACAAGACAAAGAAGGGAGAATTTTTACTGACTGTCTATGCTACCTGGATTTTGTCTTCATTTTATGAAAATATAGTACCTATTCAAAAAGATGTTATGTAACTGAAAAGGGAAAAACAAACATTGCATGGCTAGGCAGGTACGAGTTAGAAGTCATCAGCACACAGCCAGCCAGAAGTTAAAGCCATTAAGAGGGTGAGGTTGTCCAGGAAGATGGGGAGAGAAGGACATAATGTAGAAGACAGACCCTGGGGGACATGGACATTTAAGGGGTGGGGGAAGAAGAGGAGGAGGCGGGCAAGTCAGAAAAGTAGAAGACAGAAGAAGCAGGTGGTCTCAGAGAGTATACAATGGTCTCATGGCAAGAAAAATAAAATGCAGACTCAAGCAATTGGCAGTCAGATCATTTCTGGGATGATATATTTAACCAGATAGTCTGTATTGTGCTTGCACTTTCTGTAGGAAATATATCACGTAGTTACATTTCTTCCTTGGAATTCCTTTCTGTCCTGTCAGTGCAACCTGATTTGAGATGTAAATAAACTGCAGAGATAATGCCGGAGTCTCGTCAGACTCTGAGTCCTGCCAGCAGCCGGGGACGGGAGCCATGATGAATGGCGCTGGGGCCGCTGCATAATCTCTTCTGTTTTAATACTCGATTATCGTGTCCCTCATCTTCCCCGGACCCGAGACTCAACACATTAAAATCTCTTTGTTTCTCCCACAATGCTTCTATCTCCACTGCATCTCCAGCCTCCTTTAATATTGCTCATTATTGAAGTGAACACAGAAAACCAATTACCCAGGTGGCAGCCGGAGTTGGTCATGTGCCCGCCCAGCTGCGAGGGGAGACTGAGCCCTTCTCAGATGAATGAGAGTCCCCTCGCCTTTGCCAGGCCCCTCACCTGTCCTCAGGCTCCCGGGAGCCGCCACCAACACAGCCACACGCGCTGTAGACATTCACACTCAGCTGATCCAGGGCGTGTCGTCCACACCAGGCTCTGTGGGGGGGGACCAGGCAGACACTCGGGCAAAGCGGTTAACACACAGGTTAACAGCACAGACTCACTCCCAGAATACCTGGGTTTGAATCCTGACTCCGCTAATAAACCCATGTGACCTCAGACAGACCTCTCGGTCCCTTAAGGTTCCCATTTGTAACAGTGGAAATAATAATAGTGCCCACATGTTGTGGATTGACTTATACCCCCCAAAACGACATGTTCGAGTCCTAACGTCTGGTACCTGTGAAAGTGACCTCATTTGGAAAGGGGATCTTTGCAGACGTGATCAAGTTAAGAAGAGGTCCTACCGAACTAGGGAGGACCCTGAATTCAGTGACCGGTGTCCTCATGAGGAGGGAGACATCTGGGGACTTAGACACACAGGGAAGAAGGCCACGTGACGCCAGAGCAGAGCCTGCAGTGACGCAGCCGGAAGCCAGGGAACGCCAGCAGCCAGAAGCTAGCAGAGGCAAGGACAGATTTTCCCCTTGAGCTTTTGAGAGGAGTGTGGCCCTGCTGACACCTTAAGTTGGGACTTCCAGCCTCCAGAGCTGCGAGAGAATGCATTTCTGTTGTCGTGGGCCACACCGTTTGTGGTCCTTTGTTACAGTAGCCCTAGGAAGCTAATATACCCCTCAGGGGGTGTCAAATGAGGATGGATTACACATGCGATACATGCAAACTGCTTAGGACAGTGTCTGACAGCTAGTGACTCGTATATGGACGTAGCACAATGGATATTATTCATTATCATTATTATTATTATTGCGGTTGCTTTGTCCCATAAGCAGTCAAATGTCCCTTGTCATTTTAAGCAATGACAGATTAGTTGTCTGTCACCTTCTCAGAAACCTGGAGCAGCAGGTTGACAAGCAGACTCTAAGTCCACCCCCTGAAGCAGGTGACGAAACCAAGCTCTCCCACATGCAGTGCATGCATTTACACCAGGGGTCCTCAAACTTTTTAAACAGGGGGCCAGTTCACTGTCCCTCAGACCGTTGGAGGGCCGTTGGAGAGTGCGGCGCACATTCCACACATGCGCACTGTGGACCCGGGACAAGTTGGCTGCTAAGCAGGACAGGCAGCGGCGGCAAAAACACCCAGCAGGCCAGATAAATGTCCTCGGCAGGCCGCATGTGGCCCAGGGGCCATAGTTTGAGGACGCCTGATTTACACCTTTGCAGGGGAATTGTGAAAGGGAGGAAGTCAAGTGCATGTGCATAGGTTGACAAATTTCCAGAGACCAGGCTGGTTTCTGTTACACTGAATTATCCTGTGGGGAAGAACCAATTCTTTCGTCAACATAATTGGGGGAACAGGTGGCATTGCGGTGAAGCACTTGGGTCTTGGAGTCAGACAATCTGGTTCAAATCCCACTTCCTCCACCTACCAAGTTCTGGGACCCTCGGTAATTCTTTAACTTCTTTGAACCTCAGTTTCCTCATCTGTAAAATGGGCAAAGGCTAACATAAAGCGCATAATAATGTATAGGTGAATAATCAGGAGCAGCCAGGAAAGGGAAGTTTCTTCAGGATTAACACAGCTCCCTCTGTCCTGTGTGCGCGTGCACACACACGAGTCTGGTAGCACTCTGAAGTCGCTCTCACAGCCCACTGTAATTATCCGTCAAATTTTTTGCTGAAAATATTTACTATTTGGCTCTTTACAGAAAAAGTTTATTGGCCCCTGCTTAAACTCATTTTGTAATTTAAATACACTTCTAAATAGGAAACCATATATAGCTAATGTAATTGGAAACCAGTATGCCTTGCCATAGATGGACGGTAACAATAAAATAAACACGTGACTATAATTATTAGTGTGAGCCAAAGCAGGGACACTCAGGGAAGTAGGAGAAAAACTAGGATTTATAGTGGCAGGAGTCAGAGGGACTCAGGGAAACAGCCGTTGAGAAAGAAAGTGAAAGCTGAAATAGAATCATGGCTCATCACAAGGGACAGAGTCAATAAAGGCATCCGGGAAAAAGGACACTGAGAACCAAAAAAAAAAAAAAAAAAAGATTTTCAACATCTGAAAGTAATAAGCATAATTTATAAACTAGATTAGAAAAGAACTTCTCAGCACATTTATAATGAAAACCGCTGATGCTAATGAGAGCAATAACATTTAAATAGAAATCTGTTTACCTTTGGGAAATTCATGCATAACTTCAATGCTGTGCTGATTGATTTAAGGACCAGGGACCAGACTGATTAACCTTCCTGGGCTCTTTTGGTTTTAAAGGGTAGTTGGCAGAGGTGCAAAAGCCCGCTGAGAACTCAACAGCCTAACCCGATGATTAGGGGGTAATTAGAGCCAGGTGGAACAGAGGTCAGAGAATCCAACGTGTCCATATGCTATAGCTCTTTCCCTTACAGGCATCACAGACTTCTTTGGAAATCTGAAGAAAGCTAAGCCCCTCCTTTCCAGAAAAACATGAAGAAATACACACACAAAAACTTTTGCATTTAAATTTTTTTTACAATTGGAAATGTATGTCCTACACATGAACAGAAATTAAAAACAGTCTTCTTATTTTTTAAAAAAAAGTTATTATTTTATAACTCATTCTAAGGTTCAAGGTCAATTTGAGCTGTGGAGGGTGTCGATCCAAAATTGCAAATAAAACGAAATTTTTCAGAGTTCATATCCAAGGTTACTTGGGCCTGAGTCTTCCAGGCAACAATGTTTTTTTTAATTCTTCTCAAAATCACATTCTAGTGAGAATACTATAAGTGCTTGGCTTGAATAAAAAATTGCAATTGTGGAGCAGTCTTTAATATCAATATCAAATCAATTTTAAATTTCCATTTGAATTGCACCAAGGGTCAAAAGCCCTGAACCCCAAAAATGCATTAGAAAAGACAAAAATTAACATTCCCATTGCTCACTTTGCCAAGTTAGAGTGGGGTTATGTCAGTAAACACCAAGTTCTCCAAGATTTTTAGATTAAATTCATGTCACCTGTTTTCTTTTGTCCTTAAGTCAATGAAGCTGGGTCAATGAGGAAAGAATTTATGAATCCGTCTTTAAATTTGAAGATGGTCTGAGTGTCAGTAACCCTCAAGTGGTTCTTCCAATGTTCTAGGTGCCTTCAGATTTGGTACACCAAGAAATTTATAAGGCTCTGTCATTCTCAATGCTGATCTGCAAAAGTGCTTTCTTTCGGCCTTGTGAGGTTTGAGGCATTGTCCCCACGCGGGGTAACTGACCAAAAGGGCTCACAGTTTTTCTGCAATGACCGTAATAGTAAGTGAAAGACCTTGAATGAAAATATTCACTTCATTCAGGTGACCAATGATTTCTTCCAAGTCAGGTCAGCGGTGAAAGAATTTCCTGCCAAATGGTTCTGCAAAGCAGCTTTTCCTACTCTCCTAAAGCTGAAAATGCTGCCCACTGCTCATTCAAGAGCTTTAGGCATTTGTTTTCTGGGCAGGCAGCACGCTTGTGTGTAAATAAGAAGAATGTATTATAATACTCTGCATCCATGCTGTGAGGAAATTTCCTCAAAAGGCCAGCTTTTAGGGCACTAGACAAGACTCCTTGCGGGGTTTGGGCCAAGTCTCCATGCCAATGTAGAAAGTAATGAAGCGTGCAGATTCGCCACCAAAGCAAGGAAGCCATATGTGTTGTCAGGCATGCCAGATGCTGTGTCCATGCCCACACATTTTTCTCAGTTAAAGTTGTGCCTGAAGAAAATAAACTTTTTAGTCATTGATGTTTCCAAAGGGACCCACCAAGAGAAAATGTTGCTTCTGAAGGCATCGGAACGCACACAGCAGATGAAGAGCTACACCTCTACGCTGAAGGGTGTTGGCAGTCTGACACAGGTGCAGCCTGAAGGAAAGAGAGATCGCTGCAATTCCTGCTTTCAAATATCAGGAGGAAAGGTTCACCTTTCAGAGTAGGTGAGGTTGTTTGACGGAGGCCCTGCTTTATAGAAGTCTCTACTCCGAGTCGTAAACCAACTTGATCATTGCTAGGATATTGGTCTTCTCCAAGAGCTCCCCCGTTCTACACTCTATTTTGCAAGGTGAGAGACAAAGTCATAGGATGCTCCCAGATATGATTTGGGAGCCAGGATGAAGGCAAGTTCAGGTGGAGTTCTAAATCTAAGGTTTAGAACTTTCCAAATCTAAGGTTTGTCTCAGGAAATGCACCTTACTGCAAGATGCTATATTGGGATACTTAGATGGAAGCTGCTCCCTAGGTTTTGTTTATTGTATGCAGCCATTAATAAGCAATTTGCATTCCAAGAACCATTGTGGCTTTAGTGTCCCATTATGTTCAATGAGGAAAGTGGAACCAAGGGACACATAAGTTGCATCATGCTTTTCTCTCTCAATACTTCCCAACTTAGCTAAGCTTGATGATGAAATAAAGGCAGATTTCCTTAAGTAGTGTGGTGAGGTATACCTGCTTTGATTTCTACCAATGAGAAATTAATGTAGGCATTGACACAAGAAAACCACACGCTTTGTATCTTACCTCACTGAGCGAGCGTCCCATTCCATGCCACAGTTGTTAGAAATGAAACAATACCTTAATTACATAATTTGACACCAACATTTTTTTCAAAGGTGACTTTAAAAATAAAAGAAAGGAAATTGGAAGAAAAGCATTATATGCGTGTATCTGATTCACAGAACCCTTGATGTTCATCTGTAGGCCCCACATCTGCCGCCCCAACCTCCCCTACCCCAGGTTAATAAGCTCTGCGATTAGCCTTGACTCTAGTCCACCAAAGCTGGCGCAGTCTCCTGGGACAGCAACTGCAGAGGGAATAATCACACAGAATTGTAACGAGCTGTTCTGGCCAACCAGACCAAGGGACAGGGATCTACCGTCAACATATATTTCAAGCCCACACTGACCCATACTTCCCACCCTTCTCTGTTTTTATACTGTGTATTGTCCAACTCCTTATTTATGGAGAGAGCCCTTCACTGATCGCTGACATCCCACTTGTGATATCTGTAGGACACGGACCATTACAGCTTAGACACTTTGCTTTCCTCCTGGGAGGCAAAGGAGCAGAGTGGCCAGGTGAATAGGTTGGGAGGTCAGATGGGCCAAGGTTTGACTCCCAAATCTCCCATTTCTTTGGTAGATACGTGGCCTATTTAATCCTTCTAAGGCAATTTCCTCATCTGTAAATGAGAATTAAAGGAGACAATGTATCTGTGACAAAAAGTCTGACTCTATTTTTGCCATTTGGCTGCTGACAGCTTTCAAGCTCCATCCTTTCCTCTTCCCCTTCTGCCCACATCTGAGCAAGCTGATAAAAAAGCCGAGAAGCCCAGAAAGCCTCATTATGTGAGTGAGAAACCTTGTCATACCTTCTTGGCGTGTATGTGCAGACTATGAACCAAATGTGGGGTAATGGGGACCCTCCCACTTTGGCAGGGTGACCAACAATGAATGCTGTGAGCAGTACGGCTGGGCCATGACCCCACCCCCGGGGATGCTCTTCTCTGGCTTTGACTTGTGAACTGGCTCTGCTGCCTGCTGGCCTTAGTGCTCTTTGAGGCGAGCTGCTGCCTGCAGGCTAGCTTGCCTTTGAGCCGAGCTGCTTTGCAATGCATTTGCCCAGTTCTTCCAAGCCTCTATTATATACCTGACTAATGTAAATCATAAGTTTCCATAATTATCATTTAGAAACAGGAGTATAGGATCGGGGCCCTCCTTAAGGGGGCCTTGGGTCATGTGTCTGGACTCGTCTGTGTGTCTCAATTCCATCCAGCATAAGCCATGACTTCCACTGGGCTCGATGGAATGCCTCCTACTCTGTTACCATCGGCTGTATGTCTCCACCGGACTTGAGTCCCCATTTACAGAGTTCTCAGGGGAAACACTGATATCCCATGCAATATATGTGCTGTCAGGTGGTCCCTGGTGTGGAAGGACATGCTGAGGTCATACTCCTCAAAATTAAGTGGCTCACTAGGACCATACAAAATGGCTTTGCTGTTGCCTATGTCCCTGTCACCAAGAAAGATCTCAATCCTCAGAGTTACAGGGGAAAATACCCTTAGTACCTCGGTGGCAATAGCCAAAGGGTTAATTCAAACACAACTTAAGTCCTGGGTTCTTAAACCCAATAGAGCCACCATTTTCATGGGGGATGCCCCTAATCCTGACTATATTAATTACAGGTTCTTTGGAGGAATAAATTTCTAAATATGAACAAGGGAGAGAAGACCCTCTCTCCAAAGTATATCCAATAACCACCACGAATAAACAACAACAATAATAATAAACAACACCTGGATATAGGAGGAAACAAAAAGACTGAACCAGAGATGCACAATTTGGCTCCATTAGTAACCCAAAGTGTACTGAGAGAATTTATACAATAAAAAGATAAAAGGGCACAGGTTGGCCTTTGCAGCTCTACAGCATAGCTTCGGAATTAACTATAACGTCTGCTGAGATGCACCAGTTAACAAACTTTCATGACCTTCATGAATACAGGGGCTCGAATTATAGTTATACCTGGGGATCCCACCAAATTTAAATAAGGTTCTCCACATAGCCTTATGGGAGTTACTGAACATAAAATAGAAGACAAATAGGTATGCCTCTCCTTAACCATCAGAAATATTGCCTTGCCTAAATTCCCCATAGTCAAAATGCCCATTGCCCTAAAATATCTCATAGTGGGCATGGATGCTCTGACCCAGAGGTTACCAGGTTAAATGAGGCCTTTGGCACTTACAATTGGCTTAAAAAAATGTGGCCTCTGGCCCTGGTTAGAATATTTAATAAGACCAAATATAAGGCTGGGAGCAGTGGCTCACACCTGTAATCCTAGCACTCTGGGAGGCTGATGTGGGAGAGCCACTTGAGCCCAGGTGTTCAAGACCAGCCTGAGCAAGAGCAAGATCCCACCTCTCCAAAAAGTAGAAAAATTAGACAGATGTGGTGGTGCACACCTGTAGTCCCAACTAGTCAGAAGGCTGAGGCCAGAGGATGGGTTGAGCCCAGGAGTTTGAAGTTTCAGTGAGCTAGGATGATGCCACTGCACTCTAGCCCTGGTGACAGAGCAAGACCCTATCTCAAAAAAAAAAAAAATAGTTAAGATGATAAATTTTGTATTATGTGTATTTTACCACAGTAAAAAAATTGGAGAGAAAAACAGTTGACCTTTATTTTTGATGTTTGAGTATTGATATCTTCCATCTTCCTTCTTCCTCTTCCACACTACTTCGGGGCAAGCTAATCAGAAAGCCTGATGCTTTTGGCACCAACAGGAAGTTCATACTACAAAAGCCCTAGCTGTCGCCTAAGACCCTCATCCCATCCCACCTCCTGGCCCCCATAAATGCTGAGGCAGTCTCCTCTCCTTGTGTGGACTTGCTTGGGAGTCTGCCCTGCTCTCCCCGGAAAGCCTCATTATATGAGCAATAAACATGCTCCTACCTTCTTGGTGCACATGTAGCATCACCAGTGTTGACATCTAAACCAAATTTTGAGTGGCAGGGTCCATGCCATCTTTGCAGGGTGAACACAATAGTAGCTGGCATATTATGTGTTTAGTAAGTGAAAATTACTGTTATGTGTATTTCCCTACTTAAACCAATGGATATGTGTAAACCCAATAGTGACCATACCTACCCTTGGACACAAGACAGGCAATGTACTAATCCATGTGATGGCCTTGTGCCAGTGGCAGATATCACATGTCACTGGATGCTAGGGACCCACGATAAAAACCCCTGAGTGAAAACTTAGAGGACAAGTATCTCCAGGTTGAGGGAGGAGTTTGCACATATTGGGTGCTCAGTAAATATTTGCTGAATGACTGAATGGCCCCAGTGTGTGGGACTTGGGAACTGATTAGGCGTAGAGCAGAGAAAAGGAATGAGTCAAAAATAATTCAGAAATCAAGAACGAGAAAGTTGCCTTGATGTCCCTCCTTCCTACACTTGGCAAACTTTAACGATTAAGGAAATAATGTTTTAAAAAAAAAAAAACTTTTGATGATGAGATATTCTGGAAGATCTATCAATACATAGCAAACCTGGTCCTTTTTAAGACACTGTGTAGAAAAAAATTTCAAAAAGATTAAAATCAGTGTGGAAACCAAAGAACCATTTTTTTTTCTATATCATATTGATCATTTCAAGTGGAACTGTTAGCTATCTTAGAAAAATTGTGGTTCTGAATTGCTTTTGCCTTTAACTCTGAACCTCTATTCCTGAAGGAAAACATTCAACCAGAAAATTTTAGCACATCAGACTCTCTCTAAAGGCTAAGAAGCCTCTGTGAAGGACTGAATGTATAAATTGAAAAATTTTTGCTGTCACATTCAAGTATAAGTGAAATCGTTCTTCATACCCTCTTCCTTTCCATCTGTAGCTCACCTGTGTCAACTTTTCTCTCAGAAGTGAAATAAAATTAAAGCCCATGACAGGGAGTGTCAGTCATGGCGGAACACATCCCCCAGTTTGCCTCTGCTGAAGTGTTTCCGGAGACAACTGTCTAACACCAGTCTCCACTTAGTGGGTGTACTTCTTTTCTGCTCATTGGCCCATAACGCAGGAGTCACATTTCAAGGGCAGTTTCCACTGGGGTAACCTCATTAGGCCTGGACAGCTCTGTAGCTTCTTGTGAAGTCTCTTTTTGAAGGACTAGTATCCTCTCCAGACTGCGTGGGTTGACTTTCTCCCATCTGGAGTTGCTTGGAACAAAAATAACTACCTCAACGCCTTGACACTAAAGCAAGAAAAGATGGCATGAGATTTCTCAGAACAGGATGTCATTACGGGTTGTGCCTTGTCAGCTATAGGTAAGACATTTGAGTGGCTCTTCAAGCCTCTCTTCAACCCCAACCCCACCTCACCCTCTCACCCACCCTCCCTCCACCTCCCACCAACCTTGCTACGCAGCCTTCCCAGGTCTGGTATTTGACCTCCAGACTGCCGCCAGAAAAGGAACTCAGAACCCAGCAACTTAGTGATGGTGGAACACAGGGATCTGCACCCCCAGCTTCCGTGACTTCCCTGGTCCCTTTTGTGCAGCTCCTTCTACATAACGAAGGGAGTGCCTTTCAAAATGGCGGCCGACCTTCTCAACTGTTGGCTCATCTGAATACGCACAGCTCACCCTTCAAATCCAGCAAGTAGTCAGTCAGCTGTTGGCTGGAGTTCAGGTGCTGGGGAAATGCCAGGTTTGGCTGCTACCTTTGGAACCCTGGAGACATCACACATGGAGCTGGGAATATAAAGAGATATAGCTTTTCTAATGGCTTTTCCAATCTTCCTTCCATCTGGATTCCTCTTTTGAATCAAGATGATTTTCCTGCTAAAAGGGCTCTTTTATTCAAGTCATGGGCAGAGTGGACATACCTTCATTGAGTGTTTAAAGATTTCATTTACATGCTATCTTCCCTATTTTGGCAGTCTACCACTTGTTCTATTTGCATAACATTGTTCTTTAATTTAGCTCATTTTTATTTATTTTTTTAATGTAAAGCAATAATCTTCAATGATTTTAGCATATTAGTCATAGTCTTCCATAATATGCATTATATTAAATAAATGCTCATTCAAATTTTTGTGTAAATGTTCAACTTGGTATCATTTAAAATGGTCTTATAAATACCATATATAACAGTCAAGATTTGGGCAACAAAATTGAAACTGCGATGAGTTTATCAGAATTTTTTAAACAGTATGGGAGAACTAAGAATGTAAAAAGGGGACATCTGAGTTAACACAGAGATAGTAACTGTTTGAAGCAGTCATTACCCCGAAGGAACAAAGAGAAGAGTGTGGAGTTATTAGAAGGAGAAGTCTGGAAGGAGAACCCCTGGGAGCTGGGACTCAGACCTCCAAGGAAAGGATAATGCTGACCTCTCTAATTGGGCTCCTGAGGCTGGTTCTAGGAGTCAGGGGAAGACACTGGAAACTGGGACAAGTGCTTCTATAATCAACTGCCCCTGCCAGGGTAAAGAATCACTGCCGGAGCGATGCTGATCAGAACAGCAAGCGAATAAGCAGGACAGTGTCCCCTCCCCTTTCTCCTTCCTTCCAGTTTCCCTCCTGATGGAGCCCCCAGCTGGCAAGGCAGAAAGGTAGTTCACAGAGCCCCAGCCCCAGCATCGCAGAGTAGAATCCAGAAGGTGGGTTAATTCAGAGACAATAGCTTAACACCCAGCATAGCATACTTGGCAAAATACTGCCATTAAAAAAATGCTCAGAAGGGAAATGCTAGTTTGGGCAAATATGCTTGTGTGCTGCAAGAGAGAGAGAATTTGGAACAGGATTTCCAGACCTCCCCCCTTAAGGCCCAACAAACAAATTATAATTTAGACAAGTCTGGGATTCTTCACAGCTCAGCTTGTGGTGATGGTATTAGCTTCGCAACTCCAAACAAGCTAAGCTGTCTGTGTGAAACCCCCCTCGGCAGCACCTCATGGGAAACCTGGAGGTGCTGAAAACACAGAGCGTTCCATCCTTGTTTCCAACCAAGAGGGTAGAGTTGGCAGGTGGCTGTTATGTCCAGCCCTGGGAAAAGACACTGCAGACCTGGCCTCCAAAGAGCTCACAACCAGGATAGCAAGGTAAGACATAAACTCTTGGAAGTTTCCACCACAGAGCAACACAAATGACCTTGGCCGTGTGCCCTCGTATTGCTAGGTACTGCTTAAGAATCCCCTGTGACTTCTAATCACACAAATTCCTTATTTGGTTGCAAAAATGCCCTTAATCAGTCACCCCTCCCTGTATCCTGCCCTTTACGACGTGGTTTGGCAGGTCCTCCCATCAAGAGTTGAAGTCTATTTCCTCGCCCCTTGAATCTAGGCTGCCTGTGGAACTTGCTTTGGCCAATAGACCAAGTGGCAGAAAGTATAAAGTACCAGTTCTAAGCATAGATTCCAGACAGGCTTTGCGCCGATTCATTTCCCCTTAGAACCCTGGCCCCAGGTGGACAAGTCTGCCTGACCAAGGATAATGGGGGATGAGAGACCACATTGGAGGAGCACCGAGGTGCCTCAGCCAACAGCCAACCCACCCCTAGAATCAGAAACACCTGCTGACCCATAGCTGACTGCAGGTGCACAAGGGAGCTCAGCCCAGACCACAAAAACCTCCCAGCTGAGTCTAGCCTGAATTGCCAACATGCCAAATCATGAACTGATAAATGACTGTCATTTTAAGCCACTAGATTTTGGGGAGAGTTTTATATACATCGATAGCTATCTGATACATGTAGGCCTACAAGTCTGTAGAACTTTCCCTGCCCCTCTCTCCAGCTACATAATTCATCCCCCCCCCATTCACTATTCTAACCCCTCCATGTTGTGGTTTGTGTCATCCTAAAATTCATGTATTGAAATCCTAATCCCCAAGGTGAAGGTATTAGGAGGTTAAGGAGGTGATTGTGTCATGAGGGCAGATCCCTCATGGATGGGATTAGTGCCCTATGAAAAAGAGCCTGTATGTCAGGATAAAGTGAAAAAAACAGCCACCTAGGAGGCAGGCCCTCACGAGATGTGAATTTGCTGACGCCTTGATCTTGGACTTTCCAGTCTCCAGATCTGTGAGAAATGAATGTCTGTTGTTTATCAGCCACCAAGTCTGTGGTATTTTGTTATAGCAGCCAAACCGACTAAGTCTACCTAGACAAGTCTTTCCCTTCTGTCACCCACCAGCCAACTCCAGCACATCTTTCAGGTCTCAGCTTAAATACCACTTCCTTTAAGACCTCCCTCAATCTCTACTATGAATTAAATCCATATCTCATATTCTTCTACAGAATCCTCTACTCTTTTCTTCATGGCACTTATCATAATTTGTAATTATATAATCTATCTGTGGGGTTCTTTGTTAAACATCACCTCCTCCACTCCCCTGGAAGCTCCATGAGAACCTCTCTGCACCCAGCAGCTGGGAAAAGCCTGGAACATAGAAGGTGGTCCAGTAATTGTCTGCTGAATGACTGAATGGCATCCAAGTTAGATAACTGGGCATCTTTGATACCAGGTTCTTAAAGAAAGAAAAGACTCCTTCTTGAAGCAACAAAGAATAAAACGGTGCTACCTCCTTCTTCCCCACTATTTTGCCCACTCCTGGTACCAGTTCAGGATGCTGGGAATGGATGTGACTGATGACAGATGAAGAATCATTGCCTTTCTCGGACAATGATTCTTCCAGGCCCTGAGTCCACGTGGCAGAGACGGATCATTGTCCTCCAACATCTACCCACTGCCTCTTCTTCCTGTTACACTCCCACATGGGGCTTTGGCGGGGCATGTGGCCACCTGACTGGATTCTCACTTCTCAGCTGCCCTTGCGACTGAGTGTGGCCATGTGACTAAACTCTCACTAACAGAGTGTGAGTGCAAGTGATGTAACAGCATCTTCATCACTTACCTAAAAAGGAAATTGCTGGTCCTCAGATTGCTCTTTCTCTCTCTCACCCTTCCTATGAGCTAGAACATGGACATGGTGCTGGTGAATCAGCTTCAATCACATGAATAAATGCAGAGCCCTGGGGAACGGCTGGGAAATAAAACAGAAGGACCCCAAGTCTCTAGATGGGCTCATGGAACCAAGTTGGTTCACACCAACCCTGAATCCATCTGGACAGTAACATGGGAAAGAAATCAGCTTTAACACTGCATTTTAGGGCTTCTGTGGTCTAACCAATACACCTCACCAAGTGTCCTCTTCCTAGGGGAGTCAGAGAAGTAAAACAAGTCTCAAAACGTCATCCAAATGGAATGGAGATAGGCCATCAACTCCACCAGCCTTGGTCTGTGACCAGAGCTCAGAATCTCACAATGTCCCTTCCCCCCATCTTCGTGCCTTGCTCCTACCATGAGGTAGGACAAATTCCTTGCTGGTCTTTCTCCCTCAAGGCTGTTACATTCAAATTGGAGCTTAACCTTCCCTGCCCTGGTTCCTCCTAAGACTCACTCAGGAAAGTAGGAAATGTAATTATTTCTGGCATAACCTTTATGTCGCTGGGGCTGTCAGAGTATAACTAATGGTAGGAATTAAAACATTCTAATTGCCAGCTCATGACAACTCACAAAAAAAATTATTTTAACTCATTATACATTTTAAATGAAGATATACTTAATGTCTAAACTGAACAGATTCAGTACTCGGGAAATTCCTTATACAGGTAGACACCTGCTCTCCGGAACTTTAAGAAAATTTCCTGAATGCCAATATGCAGGACTACTCAGACTTTCCTATCACAGATTTCTTAATAGCACAGGAAAGAGAATTTGTAGCAAAAGATATCTAGAATTTAGCACAACCAGTAGCCCTCCACAAGTAGGGGGTTTGCTTTAAAGTGTTATATCTTATCTTTAAAATTCCAGTGCAAATGCTTATATGTTCTGCTTGTTTTAATATGAAATACTGTTTTCACTTGCTTGCCATCATTTCTAAGCAATTGAAAATATTTTCAACCTCATTCATCATCATAGAAAAGCAAATTAAAACATAATATTAATATTTTTCACTATAAAACTTGGAACATTTTTAAATGTGATAATACACTCTGTTGACAAGGGTGTGAGAAAACAATTCTCTCTTCCCTTATTGGTGGGACTATAAACTGATGCAGCCTCTTAGGAGGTGGGGGTGGTTAGAAAATGCGTATAAAAAATTTAAATGCAAAATTTACATCAACCCCACAATTCGACCTCTAGGAATTTATTCTTAATTCTTCACATACTCTTGTGTATATGTACAAAGACATGTATGCAAAGATATGTATTTAGCACTCTCTGTAATAGCAAAAGACTGGAAGCAACCTCACTGTCAATCAACAGAAGACTGGATACATGAGATACTATTATATGTGTCAGTTGGGTTTTCTGAGAAGCACACACCAAGACAGAGTGCAAAAGGTAGGATTGTGTAGGAGAGGCCATTAGAGTGCAGTGTAGAGCTAACAAA